AAGGTGGCCTTTTGTGCCTCCCACCTGCATAACTGGATTCATTAGACACACATTCACCAGGTATTCATCTCTTTCTTCTAGAAGACTCTTCTCAGGCATCAAACCAAACCCAGGCTCTGGAGAAGGGTGTCATTCTGCAGCTGGGAACTCTGCTGACAGTTTATCATGAGCTGGTACAGACAGCACTCCCTGCAGGGAGCTGTGTGGACACGCTGCTGAGAAGCCTCAGCAAGACATACGCAATTCTCACCTCCCTCATCAAACATGTGAGTGCTGCTCTGCTGACAGTGGGCTGGCTGGCATCTAAAAACTTTTTCCCCATCTGCTGCAGCAAGCTCACAGTGACCCCTGGCAGCAGCTACGCTCAGGACTGGGCTGTTGGATCTCTTGCAGGAGTTGAGTCCTTATTCTGTTGACTTTCATGCTCTCAATTTTGTGACCTCTCTGAGCAGTGATAGTAGAACCAGTGGAAATAAAGGAACGCTTCTCTCCAGCTGAATTTGGCTGTGGGTGGCTTGGAGTGGCTCGGCTCTTTCCAGTGTATCTTGTAGGTTCCTCTGTAGGCAGCTGCATGCCACAAGGAACAGCACTAGTGGTGTTCTCACAGAGCTCAGCAATCCTGCCCTTGCCACTCATTCCCATCTAAGGCTTGAAGCATCAGACTTGGGGGAACTGGGCCATGAAAACAGGCCAGTGGAGCTAGTTTGAGACAAGGTGGTGGATACCCTGGAGCTCTCTCACAGCTCTAGAATGCAGATATAGGCATTTGGGATATAGCAAGCCACTGGGGAGGATAGTTCTTGCAAATCCTGTCCTTCCCACTGTGCCACTGGATGAGCTGCTTTGAGCCCTGCCTGGAAGTACAGGTTGCAGGATGGGAACAGCGTACCTAGAAGAAACTCTCTCATGTTTTCCTTGCAGTATATCCAAGCTTGCCGCAGCACTTCGAATACAATTCCAGGAAGGCTAGAAAAGCTGGTGAGTGTGAGTGAATTGCTGGAGGAAATGGCTCATTGCCTTGAGTTAGGAGTAACAACAACCTCTCTGCTTCTTTGCAGGTGAAGCTCTCAGGTTCCCATTTGACCCCACAGTGTTATTCATTCATTACTTATGTACAGGTAAGGCCTAAATTAACTGGCAAAGTCGCAGTCAGTCTATCTGGTGCCGAGTGGTGTATCAGCTGCAGTACACAGGCACCTTTGGGGATTATTAATCTTCTTGACATGACTTGAGTTTCTTATAGTTCAAGCTTTACCATGTCAAATAATAGTATAAGACATTTCAGCACCACTGGGACCAAGCATGCTGATTTCTGCTTGAGCAGAGAAGGAAGAGGATTTGGGGAGCTGGTTTTTTAGTTGGTTTGGTTTGTTTGGGGTTTTTTTTTTCCCCTCTGTTCCTGTGGATTTTTTTTGGATGAGATTAATACTGCTGTTAACCACAATGGCAAATAAAGGTCAACAACACTGCAGTCATCACAGTGTAAAGTGAAGTGGGTGCCAAAGACTGCAGAGCTGAAGATGGGATTTAGCTGCTTGGAATAAAATGAGGTGCTTGAGCGAGGGCCACATGAATTGTACAACAGACCTGGTGTATTGGGGAAAGTGTAACCGTGTGCAGAGCTGCCACTCCTGGACACTTCTCACACATGCTTATTTCTGAATGTATAAATAATTACATTAGGTTTTCTTTCCTTCTTTTTTGAGATTACCCCTAATTCTGTCCTTCTTGTATCACTACCTTTCTGTAATCTAGCTGGTAGTGCTGTTAACTGGCCAGAACAAAGACTTGGCTGGCCTTTCTTCCCTGCTTACCTTCTCATGCCACATCTTTTGGCATCTTCCTTCAGAACATCCACAGCGAGAGCTTAAGCTTTGCAGAAGAGAAGAAAAAGAAGAAAGAGGATGAAGCTGCTGCAATCTCCACAGTCATGGTAAGATTGACTCAGTCTCTATCAGAACATGGGCTGTATTTGAACTGGGATCATACCTCAAGGCTTGTGTTACCTGGTGGCTTCTTACAGATCAGTGACAAATTGTCACTAGGGCCTTTTAAGTAAAAATCAAATTTAATTTACCAAAACCCAAACAAACAAATTTTAAAAAATAAACAAACAAAAAAAGCCACTTCCACTACATGCAGCCTAAAAGCTCACAGACATGAAACAACGATCAAGTCTGGATAGTCTGTCCTGTCTGATGTTTTATCATTTGGGGTAAGCTATGAAATTACAGAAAGGGGCTAATTTATTGGAACCAATACTGCACTCTGTTTAAGTGTGTCTTCATTTTTCTCAGTACATTTGAAGAGAAAGTAGTGGATTCCACTCAAGTAAGGCAGTTGAGAATGACTGGATGATTTGGTTGGGAGCAAGCGAGCAGGCTGGCAGGTTCCTTGTCTTTTATGTCCTTTGTTTGTGCTCCCAGCCAGCACTTCCTCTGTCTCGTCAGTTGTCCCAGACATTCCTGTGATGTTAAGAGTTTAAAAGCCAGAACCATGATTTTCCTAGCTGTTCCCCGAGTGTATGGGCTGAAATGCTGCGTGTCCTTTTACCACTCTGTCACCATGGGGAACAAACATCAGTGATAGTAAACAGGGCAAAAATGTGGTGAAACAGCAATGTGCTTATTGCCTGGAAGGCGTATGCTTGTGATGCCCTCGCAGAGCTGGAGCAGAAGGGCTTTTGCTCTGATGGCTGTCAGGCATGTCAAGGCTGTGGACTGCAGGCAGAGTACAAAACAATACACTCAGAACCATCGTGGGAGTCAATTTACAACCAGTAACAAGGCTGGCAAGGCTTGCTGGGGCAGGACTGGTATGGGGCAAGGCTACTGAAGACACTTTCCTAAACTGGGAGTGTTGTGGTCTTCATGTTGTGCTACAGCATCATTGTTCACTTCCAAATCTGACCTCTCATGCTCCTTTCGGTATTTCAGGCCAAGGTGCTTCGGGAGACCAAGCCAATCCCAAATCTGATTTTTGCAATAGAGCAATATGAGAAGTTCCTTATCCATCTCTCCAAGAAATCAAAGGTAACATAAAGCAAAAGCTTTTGTGACCAGAGTTCTGTGGAAGAGTGGGGTCGGTGGCATGGTGGAAGACTAGGGCTGCTCCACCTTTTAAAGTATTAATGCTGAAATTGGGAAGGTGTGAGAACCTTGCACCTCTTTCAGCCTTTGCCCAAGCTTCTGGCCCGACGCTACTGAATCGCTGTCACGCTGATAGCAGCAGGTGACAATGGCAGTACTGCCTGTGATCTAACATCATATAGTTTCTGGTTGAGCAGAAACTTTCACACCTAATGCCAGCTTTCCTCACCTCATGTCTGTTTCATGAGCAGGAGAGAAATGTACCACAGTGAGGTACTACATGAGAGTGAGAGTAACTGGTAATCTCTTGGCCTTTAGGAAAACAAATGGGCTGCTGGATTGCATGGGGGCAGGTGCTTTGTCACCTACCTTTTGCTTCAGTCCTGCATTATTACTGTGATGGACTCAGTCCAAGTGCTGTGCAAAGAACTAGGCAGGGTAGAAAACTAAGATGCTAATGGCATAATGTCCTTTCCCCCTGGTTTCACCTTGGTTGCTGCAGGTGAACTTGATGCAATATATGAAGCTAAGCACCTCCCGGGACTTCCGCATCAACGCATCCATGCTAGACAGCGCGCTGCAGGAACAGAACACAGAGGATGCTGAAAACGAGCCAGACAACAACCAGGTCAGAACTCCTTTCTCTGCTTTTACTGACAGGATTCTCCCTCTTTTGAGGCCAACTGTATTTGTTGTGTATATGTGCAGGTGTATGTGAAATTAGGACAGTCTGTCTTCCATGGGTTAGCTCTCACTTAAATACTAAGCTGATAGGAAGGAGTGAACAGTTAGTCTGGCTAATGTCCCCACACTCCAGCCCTCTGCCTTGAGTGACCTTTATTTCCACGTACCAACTGCCTCTAGCTCTGGTCTCAGGGAAGTGAGACTGCTCTTAAAGCCTTGTTTGCCTCAGCAAGCAGAGAGGTCTATCAATCAGCGTTACCTCTGAGGACCTACTGGCCAAGATCAGACCTTTGCAGCATGATGCAAAGTGGTTTTGCATCCAGGTTAACTTTTGTAGATAAACTGCTGGCAAGGCAAACTGCAAGGCAGCATTCTCCTCAGACCCATCCCCTCCCCTAGATAGTGCTGGTGAGGGCGGTGCAACCTGTGCTAGATTAAAAAACATAATAAAATAAACAATTGACTTTGCTGATTGTCCAGGTTTTTATTGGTGCTTCTGTCCATATTTTCCTGAGTGTTTCAACAAGCCAAAACTCAGCACAAACAGTCCCTGTCCTGTCCCACTGATAACCTGTGGTCTAAGTTCCAGCATGAACTGGAGGGCTCCACAGGGAAAATCTCAGTGGGTGAGAGGAGTCCCAGATGCAGGTCATTTTGTTTGGGAGGAAAAAGAGCTAAATCCTGTTCTGCACATCAGATTTCTTGCTTTAGCTAGACATTTCTTAGACTAATCACACAAAACTAATCACACTCTGTACTGCTGCTCTCTCCCTCCCCTCTGCAGAGCAGCACAGCAGAGCAAACAGATGAGAACCAGGAACCCAAAAAGAAAAGACGGCGAAAAAACTAAAGCTGGGGTTGCCGCTGCTGCTTCCTCCCACAGTTCTCCGGCAGCCTCGCCTTGGTCTTGGAGAACTGCGTGTGTGGAGACCATGGTTTGTTGTTTCTCTTGCCAAATACTTCTGACTTCTTCCTTTGTGCCCATGGGTGTGCAAGCAGAGACTTGGGCCACTGTCTCAGGTTTTACAGGTGGCTGCTGCCTTCCAAAGTGCCTTTGCTATTTGAATGTGCTGCTATCAAAATCTTCTTCTCCAGGAACATCCCTTCTTACAGCAAAAAGGAAACAGAGCGACCAGGATCAGTCCCTGCCAAAAGATCTGCTTCTGAAAGGACAGCCAGACTCTGGCATGCTCTCTGGACATTTGTCATTCTGGCACTCTAGCGTCATCACTTCTTCTCCAGCGAACCTTTGGTTATTTCAATTAGCTGATATATATCCAGTGCTTCTCCTGGAAGACAATGGGACACTCAGTTCCCTGCATGCTGCAGTACACCCAGAGACTGTGTAACATGAGAGAGTGACGGTCACAATTTGCTTTAGTTCAGAGCATGTAGCACAAAAAAGTCCTAAATTTATTCAAACTTCTATTTTGTGTGGTGGTGTGAACCAGCACCAGGAGGAAGCTGGAACCACGAGCTGTTCTGCCTTGGAGCTGAAGCTTGTTGCTATGTGTGGCTCCTGAGCAGCAGAGAGGTGACAGCTTCCTCTGGCAATGCTGCTTTTGCTGTTATGTTTTTGCTTACCTTGATGCAATGCACTTGTTTAATTTGCCTTGTTCTTAAGTGCCCTTTTTTGCCTCTAGGACATAAATCTTGTTTCTAAAAGCACCCTTTGCCTGTAGGACTCCTAATAAAGGTTACCAAAGGGGGGAGCAGCTGATGTATTCAGTGACTGAGAGAACAAAGCTGAGGGCAGGTTCTTCTCCTTATTGGGAAAACACTGCTGCACATCAAGGAGGAGCTGTTTAAAGTGGCTCCCAGCCAAGAGTTAAATGTTTGCTTGCAGCAGTTAAAGGGTTATGTTGACTGTAGGCCTTGGAATTGTTGGGGAAGAACAGATCAGTGCCAGGAGATTGCTCTGAACAGAGCTGTGCTGAGCTAAGGGGGAGTGGGGAATAGAGAGAAAGCACCAAAGGCTGGAAAAGTTTGGGTGAGGAGGGCAAAATAACACAAGGTTGTTGAGACACCTCATTTCAGAGAAGGAACAATTCAACCCTGGGCTGTGTTACACGTGCCCAGGAGCTCTCCTCTCTCCTTGAGGGGCACAAAGCCAGCACGTGTGTGGGATAACAGAGCCAGGCCCAGCTCCTCGCTATCAGAAATATTTGGAAGCAGGAGCACAAACTGTTGGGGGACTGTGAAAAGAAAGAGGGGCAGAGGGGGCTGGCACCAGGGTGGCCGTTGCCCTGTGGGGCAGAGGATGGGTCAGGAAGCCAGAGGTTCAGGAGGTGCCCGTGGGGTACAGAGGAGCCCTGAGGGAATAGTGGCTCTGCCTAAACTGGAGAGGTTTGTGCAGAAGGGATGATGGGGGGGTTAGCTTGCATGGACACCGCTCACCTTCAGGGATGCCATATTTCTTCTCCATGCCAGTTGGATTTGATGGTGTCACGCAGTTCATGGTCACCTCTTTCCTTAAGCACTGGTCAACATCCACTGCGCTGAAGAAAGCCACTGACTGTGGCAGATCCTGGAGGCCCAGTTTGTAGGCAAACATGCACCTGGAAGAACAAGAGACCGGGAGGACTGTGCTACACATCACCCTTAGCTTTGGCACAGCTTCACAAAACATCAGCCAGCCATTGCTAATGAGTTACCCAGGTTAGTCTGCACCCACATCACTCAGCAGCTGGAAGACAAGGTGCTTAAATACCTACCAGGAGGGTCGAGTATTGCTAACGGGGACATGGGAGGAACAGAGTAATGGTACATTGAGCTTCCTCAAAGAAAGGAAGGACCCAGCCCTTCACTGCTGGCTCATCCTCCCAGGCTGAGCAGATGCTGGATTTTCCCAGCTGGAAGCCCTGTGCTCGCAGGAGCCAGCACAAAGGCACAAACATGGGGGATTCTGCCCCCACTGTGCCTGCTGCATGGGCACGGACAGGCTGGCTGCTGTATTGGAGAAAACTGCTTGGCTTGGGCCAGCTCCCATGTCACCAACAGCACCAGGAAGGGGATGTGGCAAAGCTGGCTCTGCCAGAGCCAGACCAAAAGGAGCCCTTTGAGGTCAGGAGCTTTCCGGGCTGAGCTTAACCTTGCACAGGGCAGGGAGGCAGCAGGAACACCCCACGCTGCAGAAGGAGCAACAGCACAGACAACAAGCTGTGCCCATTCCTGTCCCCTGAGGGATGGGGGACGATGAGGGATGGGGACAGTTTCAGGCTCCCATTGCTGCTGCACAGTGGCTGCAGATCTGAAGGGAGCAGGAGACAACACGTTCACGTCCCAGCACTGCAAGAGCCAAAAGCTGACAACATCACCCTCTTGCCAGCAGATTATCCCTGGAAATTGAAGCTGAGCTCCACTTACAGCCACCCAAGTGGAAGGAACCACATGAAGGAACCACAACCCCCAGCACTGCCTCCTTCCCTCAAGCAGAAGAAAACTGCCCTGCACCAGCTCACTGTGGGCAAAGCTAACCCCTTTGCGGTCAACCCAGTCCCTTGGGCTGGCCCTGTCCCAACCCAGAGGCACTGGTAACCATCCCCAGGAGACACCACAGCCGTCACATCTCACCGCGTGAGGAGGTTGGTGATCTGCAGGGCCAGGGCTGCCCGGTACCGATCCTGCTGCTGGACCAGGTACCGCACCTCATCATGGATGCTGATGCAGAAGCGCCCGTTGATGTCAAACTCCTCGAAGAGCCACTTCATGGCAACCAGCATGAGGTGCAGGTAGTCGACAGCAGAGCTCTGCACCACCCAGTTCACTCTGCTGGTCAGAAACTGGTGGAAGGAAACACAGACAGATAGTAGGAGAGCACTGGGGTCCAGGGCCTGGTACCAATAGAGGAGAGCTCCTGGGACAAGCCTGTTAAGTTCAGGGTTGTTTGGTTTTCTTGATAGCATGCAGATAAAGAACAGGGCAGTGGCTTTCTTCATGGCTCTAAGAGCATATTGGCTTTCTACCATCTAAGAAGAGCTGAACTTAAGGTTGTCATTTTGGAGAAGACAAGCAAAGCCGAGAGCTCAGCAGCACAGAGCCCCATCCGTACCTCCCCCTGGGCCACGGCAGGCTCCAGGGCCCTGCTGATGTGACAGCCCAGCACCGGGGTCTGCGGAGAGGGGGATAAGGCAATGCTCTCCAGCTTGTTGAACATTTCGGACTCAGTGCCTCCAGCCCACACTCGGTTCTCCACCACGTTCCACTTCTTCTTCCTCCGGGACCTGGTGGGGCAGAGGGAAGGTTTACTGGAAGCGTGGGACGAGGCTGTGAGCCCCATTTTACAGCCTCAAATAGTTTGGGGCAGTTGGATCAGCCCCTGCAGCCTCCTGCTGGTAACTACTCACTGGGAGAGACTGGGAGTCCCCAGAGCAGATGGACTCAGGACCATCCAGCCCTGTCTCCCTTATCTGCCCGCAGGGCTGCAGCTCCCTCTGCCTCACACCCTAATGCCACCAGAGCCACACAGTGTTGGAGCATCTCACCTTCTCGTGGCTTCTCTCTGGAGGCGCTGGACATCCTGGGCTGACACTGATCCATCCTCTGCCCTGTCCATAGCCAAGTTCAACTCCTTCACCAGCCACTCCCCATCCTCAGAGAGACGAAACCTGGAGGAGAGAGCGATCCACACCCAGGTCCCATGGGACACCGCAGCCATCCCCATCCCCACTCACCCTCTGCCTCCCCAGTCAGCACCCACCTCCGGACACCCTTGGTGACCATGTACATCTGCTGAGCCTTCTCCCGTGCCTGCTGCTGTGTCAGCCGATGGTTGAACTGCATCAGCAGCCGCTCGGCAAAGGGCTGCCCGGCCCCGTAGATGCGTCCATAGTTGAAGACCTTGGCGTGCTCCCGGCTGATGCCCACCGTGGTGGCCGTCTTGCTGTGCAGGTCTGTCCCGTTGCTCTTCTTCCCCTGCAGAGTCATCCAGCCAAAGGCTGTGCAGCCTGCCAGGAGGGGAGCAGGGGTTGGACACCAAGCGGGACCAGGCTCAAGGGGGTCACCCCACTGACCAGCAAACTCACACCCTGTGGGACAGCCCCGGCTCACCGTGCATGCCGGTGAAGTGTGCCTCGCCGAGGATGGCAGCTATCCAGAGTTCCTGGGAATCCACATCTGCACCCACCAAGGAGTAGCCAGGTGGCACCTGGACCATGGCTTTGAGCTCGCTGCCCACCCGGTCAGCCTGTGGGACATGACACCCAGCTCAGCACAAGCCCTGCACCTCCCTCTCCTCCTCAGCAGCAAAAAACCCAAATAAAATGGGTTTAACGCACGCACGGCGTATCGATCACTTGGTTACTCCCCCCAGGCTCCTCCGGCGGGGAAGAAAGGGAGCTTAGGAAAGGAAAGAAACAAGTGCTTCAGTGTTTTTGTCTCTTTTCACCAAACTCTGAAGCTCAGGAGCCTCTGCTGACTCATTCCCCTCTCCCAGAGTCCAAGCACATCAGCAAGGGAAGGACCAGCACCAGCCCTACCCCCTCAAACCCCAGCATCCAGCCCCAACTCCTAGTTCCAATCCCAGCTGCTCCCACCAGTCCAAAGCACACAGAAGGTGCCTCAAAACACCCTCCCAAGGCCCTGAACATGGCCATACCCGGGCATTGCTGGCTGTCAGCCACGTGGGCTCCACTGCCCGGCGGGTGATGGTGCCCGCGGTCACCACCTGCGGTAGGATGGCTCCGTAATCATCCTCCTCGTTATAGTCGGGGTGCCTGGGACAGAGGTGAGGGTGAGCATCGTCCTCTGAGAGCCCTCGTGGAGCGGTGCAGAGGGCACCATGGTCCCAGCTGGGTCTGTTCCTCCCTGTACCTGGTTATCACGCGAGGCAGCTCCCCCTTCTTCAGCCACACCACCATCTGGGAACTGGGGGACAAACACGGCAGGTGAGATGCTGAGCCCCTCGTGTTCTGCGTGACCTCCCCCAGCCTCTGCCCACCTGCAGGGATGTCACAATTCAGCTAAAGGTGGTCACTCACCTGATCCGTTTGTGAGCGTTCCTCCAAAACGAGATCATTTTGTTAATCTCGAGGGCTCTGGTCCCATGGACGCGGCCCACGGCAGCTCGCAGGGTGCCGTCCTCCATCCGGGGCAGGAAATCCTTGGCAAAAGGGCTTCCCACATTGTTATCGTTCCCATCCTTTAGCAGCAAAAAAGGTGCCAGGGCTCAGAGTGCCGCTGCTCGGTATCAGGAAAGCTCTGCCCGTCCTCCTGTCCCAGCTACAGAGATGCATTTCCACTGCCCTATCCCACGGGACAAGATCATGGGGGTCCCAGGAGTGGGGTGACAGGCAAGGGACCAGAGAGGTTGGGATGCAGGGTGGCCAGGCAGGGTGACACAGCCCTTGGGAAGAGCCCCATGAGCACCCAACTTACCTTGTGAGGCAGCTTGAAGAACCAGCACCCGGGGATGTTGACGTCGTTGTAGGGACCATTGCCGTGGTGGAACAAGGGCTGGCTCCTCGCCTCCACCAGCCTGCACAGCTCACCCATCTCCCCCTGCAACCAGAGATGTGATGTTGGGAACTCCCAGGGAGGGGGAAACCAAGGAAAGAGGGACTAATCCACCACCTCATCCCACAGGAAACCCCCTTTACCTGGACCAGGCTCTGGTCTGCTGTGCTCATTTTCTCCTCCGCATCCACCTCCAGCTGGTCCAGCTCCTCCGCCTGCAGTAGAGAGGGACCATGGGGGAAGCCGGGTCAAACACCAATTTTCCAGTGATTTAACACTTATTAAGGGAAATTTTTTTACTTCCAGCCCCTGGAGCCAGACACAGGGCTGGTTTTCACATACACATGGGAAGAAACCCAGTGCCACCTCTCCCTCCCACCAAGAGACCCTCCATCCCTTCCCTCACCTGCCGCCACATCGTGCTGCCATCCATCACCAGCAGCTCATCCTCTATGGCAGCTTCCAGCACTGGGGGCTGCTCCTTGCCTTTCTCCAGGCAGTGCTGCCTGTACAGGTGCTCGATCACCCTGGCAGGGAGAGGACAGGGCTCACGCACCCACAACGGGGGCCCAAAGCTCCAGGGCAGCACCTGGACAGGGTCTCAGGGAGCTCCCAAACCCCTCCACGGGGCATGCCCCACCTACATCCCCCTCACCTGTGTGGGCAGGGAGGGCCCTCTGCCTCTGAGGGGGCTGTCTTCAAATTGTCCTGCCGCCCCGGCACCAGGTAGCCCCAGCCGTGCTTCTCCGAGTAATGGAGCGGGAAGCCATCCCAGGCCAGGCGCATCAGCTTCGGGGTCACCCTCATCTGCAGGCTGATGAGGCTGGGTCCTGGCACCCACCCCGCCTCCTCCAGGCGTGGGCACAGCTTGCGGTACCAGCTGGGGAGCAGCAGGGATGGGTCAGAGAGTGCAGGGCAAGCCCTGGGGACACCCAAGGTCCCCAACTCACCCCGGGTGGCCTGGCAGGTGCTGGAGTCTCTTGGGTTGCAGCACAACCGTCTCCTTCAGACGCTCCAGACAGACCTGGCTTGCAGTGGCTTTCAGCTCCTCATCCTCACTGGGGGGACCAGGGTCTGGTGGGGCAAGGAAGACTGGTTGGCAAAGAGCCCTCTGTGCCACCCCACCAGGCATGGGGACCTTGAACCAGTCCCCCACCATGTGTCCCAGCATGGGGACACAGGTCAGTGATGCTCTGCCCTGCCAGCACCAACAAACCATGTCCCTCATCTGGGGACCCATGGGAAGGCATCCCTTGAGTTTTCCTTGAGTGTCCCTCATCCCCAGGGACCACCTGCTCTCACCTTCCGGCCACTCCTGCATGGACCCATCTGTGCCAGCCGCCGCAACAGAGGCTTTGCTGTTCTCATCCTGATCCTTCTTCTTCTTTTTCTTCCCTGGATTCTTCTTCTGCTTAAATTCCTGCGTGTCCCACTCAAGATCCCAGAGCCAGGGGTCATCCTTGTACCTGCCAATACACTGTTGTCACACCACAGCTTTGCTCCCATCCACATTGCCCCATGGACCACCCAGCATCTGGTCTCCTACCAGCACCCCCAGCCCATGGTTACCTGTCCTCGTGCAGCAGCTGGCAGGCATCGTTGGCCAGGTTCATCAAGGACTTCTTCATCTCCTTTTGCAGCTCCTCGTAGATACCCTGAGCATCGTCCAGGTACCTCTTCCAGTTCCCGTTGACCGGTAGGTAGGACACCCCCATCTCCAGCATCCCTGCAAACGTCACAGGGTGGGGACACCTGGAGCCCAAAGCAATAAGGAATTAGATGTCTGCTGGAGGGGATTTGCCCTAGAAGCACCAGACTACAAAGGACTTGAGTGTGTCTTCAACCTACAGTCTCCCAAGCCCACACAACCCTCAGTGCTCTTCCACTAAACCCGTAAGGATCCCTGTATCTTCTGCCTGCCCTGGACACAAACTGCTGCCCTAAAAACAACCCTGTGCACTAACCCCAAAGCTGTGTCACTCTGATCTGCCTCACCTCCTCCAGCCACGCTAGGCTGTCATT